CCTTGAGATCAGCTTCGGTAGCTGCTCTATTTTATGGAGAGTGAAAAGGGGTTTGCACAAAGGAGAATTTGTAGGTGGCAGAAGCAGAACTTCTGATCCTTCTCTGCACTGCTGGGTGTGAAGTTTCAACAGAGGGCAGACAGCCTCAGGCAACGAAAGCTGACGATGCAACATCTGCTGGTATAGACAGATGGACAGACAGTGAAGTGGAACAAGAAACGGAAGACTAAGTTTTGGTCCTGATGATGGGTTAACAACAGGCTGCTACAGGGAGGATGGCAGCACTGGAAAGGCTCTTTGCCTTAGGCGAGCTGTGGGAATTTAGGAACTCAGTGGATGCTGGCAGGTTAACACTGACAATTCAACAAGGTACTGAGAGTTGGGGTCAAAGAGAAATCTTGAAAGTGGGAAGGAAAGGCTGAGGGAGGCCCAGGGAAGGATAGATTAGGTTTCAGAAGGGCCAGCCATTTCTGAGTTAAGGAGCACTAGTGAAGAAACAGGAAGAAGCAGTAGGAAAACAAGACATAGAAAGAGGTGGCTCAAATGGAAGGCAGCAGGACACTAAGAATGGGCAGGTCGGGAAGCCATGCAGGGCTTTTGGAGATCTGTTAACATATCCATAAATGTACTCAGTAGGGCAGCAGTGTATAGCTAGAGGTGGAGATGAAAGGCTAGGTATACTGTTGGTGTGCACTCTACCTGAGTTTAGTAGGTGATGCTGTACTCTAGTTCCAGGGGCAGGGAAGATGGCATCAGGAAGGTGGCCCAAGAACTGGTGATTGGCTGTTAGAAAGAAGTCCATCGGCCTGAGAAGGCCTCAGGACACAAAGGGCAGAAGCAACTGCAGGAGCAGAGGGGCAGCACTAGAAACACTGGATGGGTGCTAGAGGCTGGCTAGAGCAGCTAAGTGTCAGGTTGATAAAAAACAATTTTATCACTCCTCCCAAGAGTGGCATTTACCTTGTACCATTTAGATGCCTCCAAGAAAAGTGAGTTCCTTATATACAATGAATGCCTCAGGGATTTAGGGCTTACTTCTCTGAAGGAACTAAGTAAAAATACCCATCATGATTAGAGGTGTGCTTTAGGCAGACAGAGCTACCCATGGGAGGATGTCCCTGAGAGGAAATGCAGCTTAACAACACTGGGTGCACTGAGATAAGGCAGCTGTAGCCACCTCTCAGTGACTTCTCTTTCCAGGTGTGCTGCCCACCTGTCCTCCTCCAGCTTTTCTTGTACTTACAAGTCAAATATGGAAGCAGTCTTCCTGCTCTAAGCGAACAACAGGCAGAAGCAGCAGCAGCAGCATCAAGGATGAAAATATGTACCATTAGTGTACTTCTTGTAGGAAAGTAATAGACTTGACACCAGTTAATTCAAATCCCTACAAGAAAACTGTCTTCCTATTACTCTTCCTGGAAGGGGACCACCCATTCCTCCAGGAGTCTTTCTGTAACTTATTCCACCTCCCTGCTCAGTAACAAGAGGACATTTCCTCTTTCACAGCCACAGAGCCCCCATTGCCAAGATCTGTTTACACATCTGTCAGCATGAGGCTGTCAGAGTCAGGGTGCCTGATCCTTAAGATGTCCTGAGGTTCATAATCTCAGAGACAGCAAATAGTTTAACATATGCTATAACAGTGACGTGTTTTAAAGGCAAGCCTGTCTCCAAAAGCATGTACCTTTTCATGTTTATGGGGTCGCTTGAAGTAGAAAAATGATCCTGAGCAATCTGTGGTAAGCTCTGGCACATCATGGTCCAAGTTCACAGGAGGAAGTAGGTGAACGAGTAGGAAAGGCTTCCCAAGAGAGGGAGATGTCTGAGTAGTCAGGTGAGAAGTGAGGAAATACAAAAGCATTATAGGCAGTGTGGGGATGCAAAAGGCAGAGATAGAGTTAAGAGTTATGGAGTTATAGATGCCCACATGCAGAGTATGATTCCATATCCAAGTCATAACATAACTGCTACAGAAAACATGTTTGTCTTTCAGTTTGGGTCTGAGAATCATACAGGCACATAAAATCATTTCATACACGCCATGAAAGTAGAAGTGAAACTGAGGGAATGAGGCAACTAGTAGGACAGCAGGAGGGAGAGAGAAAGGCACTGGGGGGGGGGGGCTATGGTCAAAGCACATGAAAAATGAAATCCACTACTATATACAATGAATATACCCCAATAAAGATGGGGGGAAGGTAACTACTTGTCACAGAGCATTCTACCATGTGCCTGCCAGGGACTTTGCACCTATTATTCATCTTCACATACTCCTATGAAGGGGGTGTTATCTGACATAAAACAACCACAGTTGGGAGAGTTAGGATAACCTGTCGGTTATTGGAAGCCAGGATCCCAACCCAGATTATCTGATTTTGAAGCCTGTGGTGTCTTTTCTACTGCTCCATGCTGCCTCCTACAGGCTGGAGGGTTTCCACATCCTCAGCTTGATGCTGTTGCCCGAGCCTCTTCATAGCTCAGAGAGCAAAAATGGCCGCTCCCTCTACCCCTAACCATAGATTTAGGAACTTAAATCCCTGTAGACCTTGTGAGCAGATGGTCTTTGTGCCTAGGCCTGCCTTGGGTCTTGCAGAGAGAACCTCCCTCTAGGTTGCTACAGCAAAGCTGGTGGCCCGAGCATTCTGGTAAAGCTGATGGGCAAGAAGGCAGACTCTTTGGTAAAGGTCAGCAGAGGTCAAAGACTTTGGAAATGTTACAGACAACAGCCCCTAGGACAAGAGAGCAGGATACTGCCTCTTGGTTGGCTGGTCACACACACTGGTAGACTAAGGGAGGTCAAGAAGGGGAGAGGGGTCAGAAGTTGGCAGGCCTGAAGGCCCTGAGTGACAGCAACTTGTTCAGGTCTAGAAGGGAGAAACAAGTGGGCTAATGGTTTTGACCCTTGAGGCTGGGAAACTGTGGCAGGGGTATAAATGGATGACTCCTAAAAAAGCAGGTGGGAGAAATGCAAAGATGGGGGCTCAGGGCATCCGTTCCAAGTCAGTGAGCAGGAAAGCGTGTCCCGGGAGCAGCTCAAAGGGCTAGCCTTGGCCTGGGGGGCTGAGGGTGGAGGGAGCCTCATAAAAGGTCCTTGCCTCTTCATTTTAAAGGTGTTTGGTCTGGATGAGCAGTGGTGAGGGCCCCTTGTAGAGTGAACTTTGACTGTGCAGTGGCTGGAGGAAGCAGGGATATGAACCAGGAGATAATGACTGGGCATATTGATTTTAAGGCATGGGAGAGAGAAGCCCCGGGTGCATGCTCTGATGCTTAGCTCCAAATGTCTCACTAGAGAGCTTTCTAAAGGACAAAGTCAGAAGCAGCCTCTGCTGGGAGCAGTAGTCCTAACTCCAAAAGTATCAGTCACCCCAGGCACAGTTCCACACTGCAGAGCGGTTTTGCTAGTTACAGTTACAGAACAAGGCATATTTTGGGGCTGGCCCCTTGAAGGTTGAGGGTACTGGCTGATTATGAAACCAGTGTGCCTATGGCTGATTGGCAGTGGCAAGGCTGAGTCCCTGGTAATTGTCCCAAACCAAAGGACATGACATGGGCTGGAAAATGATTGGGATCCTGGACCTGGAAGGCCAAGACTGTGACAGAATGAACTTCTGTGAAGGCTGATTGTGTGATTGTGGAAAAAATGGTTAGGTTGCAAACAACAGACAGTTGGTAGAAGACACAGAGCGATCACAGTTCATTAAAAAGTGTTCCCACCAGTCACTATGAAGCAAAATGGAGCTGACCACCCAAGGAGGGAGTGGGGACCCTCAGGCCCTGACAACCCACCCAAGGGAATGCCTACCAATCTTGGAGAGATTTCTTCTGTGAGGGAGGAAAAATCATTTGAGTGACCCAGAAGCCTTTGAAGGAACTGTCTAGTTCTCATGGAGAAAGAACCTTGACAAGGAGAATCCCAGGTTCCAGCTCCAAAACTGGATCCCTGGCCTTCAAAAACCAGCAGGGAGTGAGTGAATAGGTATTCTTATGCCATTATGTCACACAAGGACCTGGGTGCTCCATATGCTGGCTCTATTCTTCCAGAAGCTGGATAGGGATAAGGGAAACTAAGAAGGAAATGGCCACCTGAAGATTTCTGGCAGCGAATTCTACCAGACTTGGATAGGACCAGCTCAGCCAGAGTCTGGCATTCTCTGTCTCTGAATGAAACTGACGGTCTCAAAAGGGGGACATTTATTCATTCAGAGACTAGTTTCGGAACATTCACTAAGTACCAAGAACTATGCTGGTCCTAGGGATACTTAATATGTCAACTCTCAAGTCAAAGGAGAAGCCCTCCACTTTGTTACTGTTGCTAGTTTTGGAGATAGGATCTCAGTTCTATAGCTCAGGTTGGCTATAGAACACTATGAAGCCCAGGTTGCCTTCAAATTTAAAATCTCCCTGTCCTATCCATTTAAGTTCAAGTATGAATGTGAACAGGACACCATGGCTTAGAGTAATAAAGAGGCCTAAGTGAGCTTGCAGTGGGGCAGAGATCCAGGGGAACAACTGTGATATGGGTTAGTAGAGCTTGACACAACTTCCCTTGCCCCCCTGGTCCTGCTTTGGATGTCACAGGAGAAAAAGAGGGCACTTAGGGGAAGAGCTATCAATAAAGAAAACTGAAGTGTGAAACAGCTCAGTAATTAATGGCACTTCCTGCTTTTCTAGAGGACCTAAGTTCAGTTCTTAATACCCATGCTGCTTCTGTAACTCCAGCTCCAGGAAGATCCAGTGCCTCTCACCTCCACAGACACCTGCACTCACATGCATATACCTACTCCCCACTAATTAAAAAAAAAAATCTCACAGCTTAACACACACACACACACACACACACACACACACACACACACGTACGCCCACAAACATACACCAACCGCCCGAGGGCAATCACACACTGACAGTTATTTTTGGGAAACATGTCCACTCCCTTAGCTCAAGGAGACACTAAAAGTGTGGACTAGTCTCCCCTACCAGCTACAACTTACAGCTCTCACCTCCATCCAGAAGTTCTTTGACAATGCGGTAGTCGTCAGCCAGGACAGCATAGTGCAGGGCTGTGCAGCCCTTGAAACTAGCACGGTTGTTTAGTCGGTTGTTGAAGTCATCCTCTCTAGTGACTAGGACTGAGGGACCAAAAACAAAAACAAAACAAACCTTCCATTAGCAACAAATAAGTCTGTGCATGCTTACGCGCCCCCTTCTACTTTCCCTACTCCCATCTTCCTTTTGTAGGGGTGTGTGTGTATGTTGGTGTTGACAGGGTCTCACTATGAAGAGCAGGTTGGCCCAGAGCTAGCAGAGATCTGTCTGCCTCTACCATTCAGTGCTGGGACTAAAAAGCATGTATCACCCACCTTTTCCTTTCTTTGGCCTTGTGTTTTCTTTTCTTTTTCTCTGAGACAGGGTCTCATTGTGTAGACCAAGCTGGCCTTAAACTCATAGATCCAACTGCTTCTGCTTCCCAAGTGGAATTAAAGGCCTGTGCCACCACCTGGCTCTCTTTGGACTTTTAAGATAGTGTCACTATGTAGCCCAGGCTGGTTTTTAACTTGCAGGGATACTACTGCCTCTATTTTCCATGAGCTGGGATTCAGGTGTGAGCCACTATGTCCAGCTTTATCTGCTTTTTTCATTTTTTTTTTTTTTTTTTTTTTTTTTTTAACCTCAGTCTTGTCCTTCTGTTTCAGCTGCTTGAGTGCCTGGCTCTTCAATATTTTAATTTATCTATGTACATCTAAATGTTAAGTAGCACCTACACTGTGTGCCTGGCCATCTGGGCTGGGCAACAGGAGTTAAAACAGCCTGGTTTGTTTCTTTCATGAATGTTGACTGATATCTAGGATTCCTTTTGGGGACAAAAAATGAATCATTATAGTCCCTGACCTAAACTGACTGACCAAAGAGGCAGATGATAAAAAGATATGTAGACTGTTGTTGCAGATAAATCCTATGTTGGGGTACAATGGGATGACACAGAAAGCCAGGGGACAGTTGAACTTAGCTTGAGCATAAAGAAAAGGTTCCTAGAATATTGGGCAACTCAAAGGATGAGGAGCCCAGCTAATACAGAAGGGGAGGTGGGACGGCAGGACCAGGGATGGGGGTGGGGCAAAAGGCTGTTCTGCACAGAAAAGCCACACACCTCTATAGCTTACAATTCATTAACTGAAAGATTAAAATTTGATTTACAAAACAAGTAATAAAAATGGAAACCACAGAAGAGTACAAAGAAGAAAACAGAACTAATATCTCAACAACTTGAGAAGGAACACTTAACTCTTTAGGGATTGCATATTGTGCCTTGGTGTGCATTCCCTACAAAGTCAGACCTTGTTGTATCTATAATTTGCCTTTTTGTCTGTTTGGTGGCACTGAGTGTTGAACTTGGTGTTGGGCACGACACAGTTCTACCACTAAGCTCCATCCCAGCTTCTGCACTCTATTTTTTTTTTACCCTTAATAACTATCTATAAACATTTTTCTGAAAGCTAAGGACAAACCCCCAGACTTACTTTAGTCCTGTCTTTTCTCTCTTCCTGAAACTGCTCCCATTTTCAAACCTCTGGGTTGGTGGTCATACACATATCTGCTTATATACACATATCACACTGGTTCTGGCTTACACTGCTGTCCAGACACTTTTGGACTAGCTAATGAACTAGAAGATTCCACCCCTCTGGGACATATCCTGGGAGACAAGGCCCCATAGAGCAGTTTCTAGCCTGCTTGGGTGATGAGGTTTCTGTTTCCCTCATGTGGAAACTTCCCCGGAACCCAATTATCTTTAGTGCTCTCTCCTGAGCTCAGTTTGTTGAGGCAAAGTCTAGGATCCAGGACCTGCCTCCCAATGTCAGTTCTCTCTGATCCCCTGGACTAACCCTGAAAAGGGCAGGCTCCTCTTGCCTCTAGAGGGATAAAAGGGCATGTACAAGGCAAAATGTGACTTGCCTACATAGCAGCATCAGACAATCTTTCCACTCTTTCCAACTGTTTTCAGAGGAAAGTGAATGTGTTCCCCTCTTGTTACACTGAAGACACTATGTAAATAAAGTTTTAAAAGCCAGCAGACTGTCTAGTAGTCAAAATCCAGTCCCATTTTTAAGACAAGAGTGTGGAAGCTCTTGGCTAGTTAATGGTGTGTGAGGAGCTCAGAGGCTGAGGTGGAAGGACTGACTGCTTGAGCTTGGTACTCACTGCTGGTGCAGTGAGAACCAGAACTAGGGTGAGTGCCCACACTTCCCTCATTGTGCCAGGAAAGAATCCAGCATAGACAGAGAAGCAGTGCTGGATGTTGTAACAGCCTTAGCTCCCAGTATTCTTGTCTTTTCTTGCTCTGGCAACACTAAGACATTTGGTGGAACCTGACCTCACCAAATGACAGCCTAGACACGTGTAGCCAGCACCTTAACTGGCTAGCTTTGGCCAAAATGAAGATGGTAGAGCTTGGAGCTGGAGACCAGACCACACTGCTGACCCCTGCAATATTATGTGACTTTCTCTGGGGCATCAAGAACAGGAAAAAAAAAGTTTTTGAGCAGCTAAGATTAGATTAGGCTCTGGGCACCTGAGGCAGCGGGGGTGGGCACATTGTCTGGATTAGCCTAGCCTCTGGGATTATCTAGGTTAGCATAGCCTCTGGGCATACCTGAGGGTGGTTATCTAGATTAGCCTGACCTCTGGGCACATTTGAGGGTGGTTATCTAGATTAGTCTGGCCTCTGGGCACATTTGAGGGATTACCTATACCAGCATAGCCTCTGGGTGTGTATAATGCTTTCTATGCCATTTAGGAGCTCAGTAAGAGTGACCAACCCTTAGTCACATTTCACACTAGTTACTCTTAGTTATCACATCATACTGAGGATCTTGTTTCTGGCCTATTGCAAATTAGGAAAAGGAAATAAGGCTGAGGAGGACACTTCAGAGTCAAGCAGATTGATCACAATCAGACGCTGACCAGGCAGGGAGGGAAAAGAACAGGACAATGAAAAGCTGAAAAAGGATTCCAAGCACAGCACCTCAAAAGGCCCTAAGGGCATCTCTGAACTGCCACACAGGACATTAGCTGCTGGATATAATGATAAACCTGAAGAAAAGTGATAGTTGGCTCAAGAAAGCAAGAAGGGTGTAATCCATTTTACAAAGAAAACCCATCATTCATTCAACAAACAAGTGTAATGAGCACCGTGTGCGGCGGTAGCTTCTGGAGATGCAATAATGAATGAATAGGGCAATTCCAGATGTTATGAATTAACTGTCTGATTTGAGAATCAAACCATTAATGTTTTTTTTTTTTTTCCCACAAGTATAATGACAAGGCTATGCATACATGGTGCTTACCACAAAAAGCAGGTGTCTTAAAATTTTAACACAGGAGGCTATTTCAGGCAAATGTCAGCAGAGGACCAGTATCATAGTACTGTTCCTGTACTGTCCTGCTCACCTGGGGGCTCACCTTTCACTATTGCCTTCCTAATGCTTGTTCTTATCTGGAACTTCTCAAAATGCTATTCCAGCTGGAACCCCACTCATCCCTTAACTGTCACTTGGCTGGCTAACTCCTTTCTGGGTCTCTAACAAAGGGTCACTTTATCCTGAGTTGAGGTAGGTATTGCTCCTGAGGGCTTTTCTAGCATCTCCTCCCTCTCCCAAAGACATTCCACAGTAACCACCTGCTTTTGTGGCTATGTTTTCCCACTGCCTGGAGGATAGGCAGTGTTACAACTTTCTTCACTATATATACTCTGGGCTACAGCCCAGAGCACAGCACAGCCAAGTCATAAATGTCTGACAAATGTTTGTTGTATCAGCAAGTAGATATAAACTGAGTGTCTCTTTCATGAAAATCAAAAATCTAAAATACTCTTGAAATCCAAAAACCTTTTTATTCCAAAACCCCTTTCAGCACTGACATCTGTCTGGTTTTGATTGGGCCTGGTGACACACAGGAAGCTGAGGCAGAAGGCTTACAAATTTGAAGCTATCTGGAACTACACACGGAGACCTTGTCTCAAAAAAAAGTTCCTGATTTTGGAGTTCATAGTTTTGGATTAGGGTTATTCAACCAATAAAACCTACATACAAATATTCAAAATTTCAAACTACCAAATCTGAAATTCTTCTGATACCAAGCATTTTGGATTATATTCAACATCTTACACAAATAAAGTCCAGATATTTCTGTTTGTGGAAAACATCTACAAACAAACATTTAGTGAAGGCAGCAGAGAATAGCTGGCAATTGAGCAAGCTCTGGAGCCAGACCACTTGTGCCTGAATCCTGAATTTACCATGCAGGTTCATAGTCTGCTTGACCTCTCTGTGCCAAACGCCTGTCTGTAAATGGAAAGAAGGCCAGGAAGCTCTTGGTGGGTGCTCTAGATGTGCTAATATATCGTCTATTCTCAGTGTCAGCCATTACCCTTTTTACCTAGTTGCTCAGAAAGGCACAGGAGCAGGACATGCAGGTGTGAGGTAGTGACCACCTGTTCTGCTTAGAGTTCTTCAGATCTGCTTCAGAACTGCTCTAAGTTTAAGCTCCCACTTCATAGGGGAACCCTTATGTTCAGAAGGGTGACATTTGGTGTCAAGCAGAACCTTCTAGTTCTACAGGGCCCATTCTGTGCCTGGCATAAAGCTTTCTCTATACATTGCCCAGTGTTAGCAGCCTGTGGTCTCCATAGACTTGGATTTGAATGCTAGGTTCATAGCTGGCAGAACAAGTTTGGGAAGGATTAGGAGGTGTGGCCTTTCGGGAGAAGGTGTGTCACTGGGGGGTGGGCTCTGAGGTCTCAAAGGCCTATGGCTGGCCCAATCTCTTTATCTTTGCCTTCAACTTGTATTGTAGCTAAAATGTAAGCTCTCAGCTATTGCTCCAGTGCCACACCTACTGGTCTGCTGCTATGTTTCTTGCCATGGAGTCACACCTCCTCCATCCCTGAAAATGTAAACAAGCCCCCAATTAAATGGTGCTTTGTTTTATTTTTGCCTTGGTCACAGTGTTTCTTCATAGTAATAGAAAAATGACGGACACAGTCCTACTTCTAACTGCTAAAAAGACCCAATCCTGAGCTATTACTCTTAAGACACAAAAGACGGATGGAGCTGGTAGAAAGGGGGTGGAG